ACACAGAAAGAGAGAGAAACCCCAGCATACAGATGATCTCCCACTCAATTCCCAAACAGATGTTTCTCAGCTTGACAGATTGAAACAAATGATCCTTCTAACGCATTGGTTATGTGCAGGTTCCATGTTCACTGAGTACAGTGAAACAAAACAGAAACATATGCATTTAAATTAGTCTTTTCTGCCTTTCCATCAGTAAAAAGCCAGGGATAAAATAAAATATCCAGTTTTTAACCAACCCAAACTATAGTTACACTTATTTCAATTTAATCATCTGAAATGACCTCATCTAATCCAAGTCAATCCAATAGCAGTTACAGCAGCAAACTCAAATGGAAGAAACTGACTGTGAATGCTCAACATGTCATATTGGTGGTACCGGCCCTGACTGCGGGTGGAACGATCCAATCTGAATTGATATGTTGATGCAAAATGTGAACATCAATGTTTTGTGTGCTTTTATTTTGACAGCAAGGCCCATACATACACATTTCCAGTAAAGTGCTGTTCTGTTCAAACTGGACAACAAGTGCCAGGCAGTGCGGCTCGGTCATAGCAACAACAACAAGAAGGCAGTGCAGCCTGCATTCTGACACTGGGAATTCACACTTAGAGTGAGATTTGAGCAGCACATAAGTTACTGAAGCATTTGATCCATTCAGTCAACACCGACTCTGCCCTCCATGCAGTGTCACTGTCGTCAGAACAGCTGTTCATCTGCCAGCAAGACAGTGACCGAACAAACGGTCTGTGGGGATTACGTTCTGTTAAATGCACCAGAAAAAAGAACCTTGAAACGTATAAGGGGGGGTGGAGGGGTTATGCGTCTCACATGCATGTCTCTGAGTCAGTGTGGACCGATACATTTGATAAACTGAGAATTAGCCTTTACCTGTAGCAGACAAGAAAAATAGAGGTAAAATAAATGCTCCCATCAGAAACAAATCATGAGTATGGAAGTATTCACAACAGTAAGTGTAAATATTAATCTTAAACTAAACTCGCACTGCAATGTAGAAATTTTTTTTCCAGCTTTTTTGTATGTTTAACTGTGTAAATGCTTGCTGAAAAAGCTTTTAGGTAGAGGCTTCGACCTTTGTTACCTGTCTTTGAACCCTCACATGTGGACCGATGCCTATTGTCCTGGTGTGAATTAGGGTGGGAATGTTTGGGCTGAGATTTCAAAACAGAGTTGTAGATGGATGACAAGTTGTGTCTTAGTCCACCACCCCCTATTTAGAGAGGGGTGTTCTATTTGGACAAAAATACTGTAGCTTCCTTGACTCCTCTCTCAAACCAGTGATGTTCTCTGGAGAGGATCTGGACTTCACTGTCCTCTTTCGAGGACATTTGAAAAGGCCAGAGTAGTAGTAGTAGTAGTAGTAGTAGTTCGAGGACAGTGAAATCTTTGCCCAAACATTCCCACCCTTTTTTCAGCTTACTGTAACCTGGATGACTGAGAACTTGCATGGACAAGTGTAAATGCTTCTTACCTAAAAAAAAGTTTGAATAGGAAGGTCATCACTGGTCCTTATTTGTATTTAAATAGCACTTGAAAGTTAACATAGCTGATCAATACACTTTAAAATTATACTTGTTACATTTTAATTAATAAAAAATGTGAAATAGGCAGATGATAGCTTGATATTAGTCGTAGGCCCCTGAATTAAACTTAAATTGCATTGTGGCATATTTTTTAAACATTGGCAAACATTGGATTGGTGGTAAAGAGGATCGATATAGGATCGTATTGTGATGAGAGTGGCAATTGACACCCCTAGCCCTGACCTCATCACAAACACACATAAACATATCTTGTTGTGCTGGTCAAAAAAAAGAACGGCCCAGTGTCGGTGATTCTTCTACTCTGTGTGGGTCACCACCTCCCATTTCCCCGCTGAGCACCTCAGACCACAATGAGAGTGGATTCTCTAGTGAGCAAGTCCTACCTGTTAGTCTGGCACCAACTGCTGTGTGGTCATTTCCCAACAACGGACCTGCAACCAACACAGGGAATATACCATCTATTGAAATAACAATGCTCCAATCTAAACTAGAAATCCACCTGATGTGCAGCTAAGACACATTCGTGCAGCCAGCAATAAATGACAGTCTCAGACAATCATATCACTATAAAAACACTCAATATTGAACTAAGAGAAGGATCCAATAGGAATCCCTGCAAAACAGCAGGAACAACTGGGGAAACGTTGCATTTTGCAATAGATAATACACTGGATAATGTGTCATCAGAAAGATTTCTAGTGTAAGCTGTACCATAGTCGCAATTTGTTAGGACAAAATAACAGTGTATTTATTTATGTTATCATTCCAAGTATTGGTTAATATTCAGTGGTGCAACATGGTTTCAATATGTTAAACAAACAAGTTAAGTAAAAATAAAGCTAAAGGGAACACCACCCTTCTGTGTGGACTATTTTTGATTCAGGAATGAAAACCCATGTTAAGGAGCTTTCAATTCTGTTTCAGTGTCAGGCTTATTGATTCGATATCTGGTCTGCCTGAACAAACCTGCTGAATCAATAAGAGTTTGTCATCTGTGAAACACAACTAGGCTACGTTATGTTAGAAAATACGTCTCCTGATACCTGGGTTATTATACATGTTAGCGTAATTACCTTGGTATTAGGAAGATAGCATGTCTGGCATCTCAGCAGACTAATCACGAGGTCCCATGGCAACAGTAAACTAATGGCTTGGAGTGAATCTAACTTAAAAAAACGTTTTAAGTAAGAGGAAAAAAAAATGTTTGCCATGAAAAGGGTCTGTAAAAACATTCTTTCAAAATTAAAGATCTAATGAACAAACACGATGAGACTGTTGACCCATGAACTTGTCTAAAAAAATGTTAGGCCCACCTGTTTACAAGATGGGTTAGCATCTAGCAGCATTAATCAAACAGGTGTGTTTGTGCTGCAGCTTGTGGAGTTTGTCATGTGTGAAGCCTGAACTAGAATCTCCATGGGCCTAGTTTATGCTGTGAATCAGATAAATCCCTGTTGAGATGAGATTTTGTACTAAAACTGGTGGTTCAGACAGACTTAATCAGTAGACTATGGAGCTTATGCCCCTGAAACCAGATATCTATGAGCTAGAACACGTAACATGCTTAAAATAACTGATTAAACATATATTTTCTGCCTATAGGCATGGTTCAAGTCATGCTAAAACAGACAAGACCACCTCATTCTCCTCCTGTCTCCCTCAGGTGTCACACCGATTCCTG